CTCGTCGAGCACGGGCGGCGGGAGAGGATGTGAGCCGGAGGTTGCCAGTCGAGGGTCGAGGTCCCAGAAGGCTCGTCGCACATGTTTCTGCATATGTAGATGCATGTTGCTTGTTTCCCCCTCTCTCTCCTCTCTCCCTCTCCCTCTCTCTCTCTCTCTCTCTCTCTCTCTCTCTCTATCTCTATATATATATATATATATGTGTATGTGTGAGGATTACGCGTACACATGCTCACATACGTACATGCTTGTGTGCACGCATGCCGGAATGCACACATACATACATACATGCACCCTTGCATGCACGCATGCAAACAAATAGACATACGCACGTACATACTTGTATACGGGCACGCATGCATGCTTGCATCCGTTCACAGATATACGTACCTACATGCACACATATGCAGGCACACATGCACATGCACATACATGCATGCGTACATACAGGCTGCAACACATACCTACATGTCGGCGGCGCCCAGTGCTGAGCGAAACCTCCTCCTGGGATCGCCCTGGAGGCACCGCCGGTGCGGGCCTGTCGAAAACCCCTGGGATGCAAGAGCCCCCAGGAAGCACCGCCAGTGCGGACCTCGGCACGAACCCCCCTGGGATGCCCCCAACCTCCAGGCCAAGAGTGTGTAGGAGCGCCCAGGGAGCGCGCGCGAGCGTCCAGCGGCGGCGTCCAGCGGCGGCGTCGGCGGCGGCGGCGGCGACGACGGCGACGACGACATCCAGCCGGAGAGCTCCGGAAGCCTCCAAAACGCACACGGGTCTCCCGGGAGCAACTATTCGAGTTCTGGACGTCCTCGGTACCCAAAAAATTCTGGAAGTCCCCAAAGGTCCCCTCCCCACTCCAGAGCACTCTTCGGCAGTCCTCACCGCTCCCCCCGACTCCTCCCCACTCCATCGCACTCTTCGGCCCTACTCGGCACTCTTCACCCCTCCTCTGGATTCCCCCCACTCCCACAAGATCCCCCCACCCCACTGCTGCTGGGGGGGTCCACCGGCGCGCCCAGCACGAAAGGGGGAGAGGGGGGATTCCACGTCGGCGGCGCGAGGCGCGCCTGATACGAACCACCCCGGGAAGGCCGGGGCGGTCGTGCCACGGGACACCGCCGACATATACATGTATATATACATATATATATATATATATATGGTCATGCATACATACATACATACATACATACATACATACAGACAGACAGACAGACAGACAGACAGACAGACAGACATGCATGCATGCATGCATGCATGCATACATACATACATACATACATAGATATGTATACATACGTACGTACGTACGTACGTACGTACGTACATACATACATGCATGCATGCATGCATGCATGCATGCATGCATGCATGCATGCATACATACATACATACATACATACATACATACATACATACATACATACATACATACATGTATACATACATACATACGTGCATGCATGCATGCATGCATGCATACATGCATACATACATACATAGATACATACATACATACATACATACATACATACATACATACATACATACATACATACATACATACATGCGTGCGTGCATGCATGCATACATACATACGTACATACAGACAGACAGACAGACAGACAGACAGACAGATGTACATAAGTCTGTACCACTGTATACGTATGATTCGAATGTTGATATTGATCCACATACGAACACAACTACCATTACATGCGTCATACGAAAAGTAAGTATCATAGAGTTATAACCACGAACTCATCAGCATCAATGATAAGACACACAATCATAAGCATACGTGTAAGGGCACTACACATACAAGTGGCCGTATACACTTAAGTATAAGTGTGATTAGACCTACAGCTATACGCACAAGTACAAGTATCCGTATCATCATAATTCCAAATAGAATTATGATCACTTATACAGTATAGAGAGAGGGGGAGGGGAAAAAGAGGCCTGGCGAAGGACCCAACCATATGCAGCTGCGAGTGCCGCGAAGGAGATGAGACGAACCGTGTGAATGGGCGTGCCGAAATTAGCTCTTGGGACGCACGTGGACGCACCCCCTCAGGCCTTCGGTGGAGCTCCCCATGGGGCCACGAACCCTGTGAGGGGTGTGCCGACATTGAGTGGCGGGGGCGCATGGCCATCCCCCATGGGGCCTTCGGTGGAACTTCCTATGAGGCAGCGAACCGTGTGAGGGGTGTGCCGAAATGGGTGGCGGGGACGCGTGCAAACTGTGCCACTGGGGTCTTCGGTGGAGCTCTCTATGGGGCCACGAACCGTGTGAGGTGCAGGCCGTAATGACTGGCGGGTATGTATGTAAATTGTGCCGCTGGGGCCTTCGGTGGAGCTCACTATGGGGCCACGAAACAAGTGAGTGGCGTGCCGACATGGGTGGCGGGGACGCATTTAAACTGTGCCGCTGGGGTCTGCGTTGGGGCTCCCTATGGGCTATGAGCCGCGTGAGGGGTGTGACGAAGTGGGTGGCGGGGACGCGTGTAAACTGTGCCACTGGAGCCTTCGGTGGAACTCCCTATGGGGCCACGAACCGTGTGAGGGGTGTGCCGTAATGGTTGGCGGGAACGCATGTAAAATGTACCGCTGGGGCCTTCGGTGGAGCTCACCATGGGGCCACGAAACATGTGAGGGGTGTGCCAATATGGGTGGCCGAGACGCATGTAAACTGTGCCACTGTGGCCACGAACCGTGCGAGGGGTGTACCGAAATGGGTGGCGGGGACGCATGTAACCTGTACAACTGGGGCCGTCGGTGGAGCTCCCTACGGGGCCACGAACCGTGTGAGGGGTGTGCCGACATGGGTGGCGGAGACGCATGTAAACTGTGCCACTGGGGCCGTCGGCGGAGTTCCCCGTAAGGCCACGAAACGTGTGAGGGGTGTGCCGACATGGGTGGCGGGGACGCATGTAAACTGTGCCACTGGGGCCTTCAGTGGACCCTATGAGGCCACGAACCGTGCGAGGGGTGTGCCGACATGAGTGGCGGGGACGCATGCGAACTGCGCCACTTGGACCTTCACCAGAGCTCCCTATGAGGCCACGAAACGTGTGAGGGTTGTGCCGACATGAGTTGCGGGGACGCGGAGCTTCGGCGGAGCTCCTATGGGGCCACGAAACGTGTGAGGGGTGTGCCGAAATGAATGGCGGGGACGGGTGCGAACTGCGCCACTGGGAGCCCGGCGGAGCTCCTATGGGGCCACGAAGCGTGTGAGGGGTTTTGGGAGGAGGGAGGAGGGAAGGGAGGAAGGAAGGAAGGATAACGCGGGGTCCGTCTCTTCAAGACGAGGACCCAACACCACAGGATGGTTGCGACAAAAACAAGAGAGAGAGAGAGGGAGAGAGAGAGAGAGAGAAAACAAAAAAAAAGGAGGAGGGAGAGAGAGAGAGAGGGAGAGAGAGAGAGAGGAAAGAAAATATATATACTACAAGAAAACTCCGAACCAGCATTCACTTACGACGGTGGCTTCCTGGCGCTCCCAGACACCGAGACACCCAAGAGGCTCCCAAGCCCTCCCAGACGCTCGAGGAGGGGCCAAGCAATCCTCGGCGGCCCCCGGCGCCCCTCAGGCTGCCCAGGGCGCTGGCAGGCGCCCCCAAGAGCCCCCAGACCCCCAGGCGCTCCCAAGCGCTCCCAGACGCTCCAGGAGCGCCCACTCGTCCCCAAGCCGCCCCAGGCTGTCCCTGGCCGGGCCCAGGCGCTCCCAGACGCCCCCACGCGCCCCCGCGCCCTCGCGAGGGCGCGGCCCGGGCGCTCCCGGACGCTCCAGAAGCGTTCCAGACGTTCCCAGGCGTTCCCAGACGCCCCCAGGCGCCCCCAAGCGTTCCCTGACGCTCCCGCAGCGCCCGAGCGCCCCCAGGCGCCACCGGCCGCCCCCCAAGCGCCCCCAGGAAGCTCCAGGAGGCCCCAGGAAGCCCCACAAGGCCGAAGGAAACCTCAGGAAGTCTTGGAAGGCCCCAGAGGAGGCCCCAGAAAGCCCCAGGGGAACCACGGGAGCCACCAGCCACCACAGAAAGCTCCAAGAAAGTCCCCGACGATGCGGCCCGACGGGCCCCGAGAAAGCAGTTCCATTTTTTTGGGGCAGACTCCCCACCCTCCCCCCGCGCGGTGGTCGCGCAACGATACGCCCGCATACGCGGCGCGTCTTCGGCGCATCCGCAGAGACATCCGCGCGCGCGCGTCCAGTCGCGCAGCGAAGCGCCACCACGTTCGCGGATCGAGACCCCGGCGCCGGAAGATCATTCCGCCGATGCGACGCGCGAGCCTTCCCTCGCGCGCTCCAGCGCTGCCAGCTCGCGCAACGAAGCTGCACGGCGCCGAGCGCCGACCCCCGCGCGCACATTCGAGTTCCCCGACCATCGCCGATGCGGCCCGCGAGTCCCCTCCCGCGCGCGCGAGCACTGTCCGGCCGCACGAGGAAGCAAGCTGCTTGGCGTCGCGCGCCGAAGCCCCACGCGAAAACCGCGCGCTGAGACCGATGGCGACGCGCAAGCTCTTCCCGCCCTCGCGCACGAGCACTGCTCAGTCGCGCGCCGACCCCCGCGCGGAATCGGCGCTCCGAGATGCTCCTCGCTGCCATGCGCGGGACCTTCCCTGCAGGAGCGAGCGCTGCACGCTCGCGCGAGGAGGCCGCCCGGCGCCGCGCGCCGACCCCCGCGCAAAATAAATCGCGCGCGCGGGGCCGCCGCCGACGCGACGCGCGAGTCCGCGCCCGAGGAATCCTGGCGCGGCCTGAGGACCTCCGAGAAAGCCATTAAATTTCCTCGTCCTCCTCCTCCTCCTCCTCCTCGTCCTCCTCCTCCTCCTCCCTCCTCCTCCTCTCCTCCTCCTCCTCCTCCTCCTCCTCCTCCTCCTCCTCCTCCTCCTCCTCCTCCTCCTCCTCCTCCTCCTCCTCCTCCTCCTCCTCCTCCTCCTCCTCCTCCTCCTCCTCCTCCTGAGGACCTTGTCGCGCAGACCCCCCCCCGCCCCCCGCGCGG